AACAAGAACGAACGTGGGGAAAGCAAGAGGAGAAGGAAAGAAGGCAAGAGGCAAGAAGAAGGGATTAAAAAAAAAGAATCCTGCTGTATTATACAAATGTACCTATTCATTCAAATTATTGAAAACTGTATGTATTGAAAACATGTGCTAATAAAAAATAAAGTCACATGAACAGTAAAGTCTAAGAGTGGAAAATAAATACTCATCAAATTTTATATGGTAGTAAAATGTATTAATCAAACATGATAAAGAAAAGGGAAAAAAGTGTATAGCTGTAACTCCTGAAATTTGTCCTTTTGTAACTATAATTCATGCTAATGTGCTATGTCTGTTTCTGAATTTAGTTTATTTTAGAATTTTGGGGAGGATGATTGTGGAACGTATGTGTGGGGAAGATGGCTGTGATCGTGTTTGTCACCCGAGGCTGAGTGTGCAAGCGGGAGCAAAATTTTGCCAAATGCTTTTGTTTGTAAAACAAATAGCATCTTGAACTGAGGCATTACTGTATATTAAAACAATAAAATGTGTGACATCTTTACTATGAACACCTCTCGCAGAAATCTCTAAGATCCCCAAGATAGGTGAAGTAAAGGAAGACTAATCCATAAGAGGGAGCACAAATGTCTAAAAAGAATCATTATATGTCATTTAAAATGAGAATCTGGGAGAAAAAGGTGGGTAAAAAATTATATTTTATTGATTCATTCATTAGATAATTATCAAGTGCTTATCATTCTGCCAACTACATTTCCAATAGATACAAATATTGCTGTTTCAACATGGAAAAGTCCTTATCCTCCTTGATCTTACTATAGTTTAGTAATAGAAAAGCAATAAATTAAGATTTTTTTTTTTGTACTAGAGATCGAATTCAGGACCTTTGATTGCAAGGCAGGCAGGTGCCACTGAGCTAAATCCCCAGCGAGGAATAAGATTTTTGTTTAAGTGGACACAGTAACAACTGTGCCTGTACAGGAAGAACCATGTGCTGTTTGGATACATGGGCACATTGTGTAAAGTTCAAATCAAGGTTGGCTTACTGATTGCCTCACACAAATATTTCTGGTTTTTTGGTACTGGGGATCGAATTTAGAACCTTGTGCTTGTGAGGCAGGCGGTGGCACCACTGAGAAAAATCCCCAGCCCTCACACAAGCTATTTCTTTGTGGTCAACAGGTTTTAAATTAGTTGGAAGAAATATTTTCTAATATTCTACTCCACAGTAGGTAACTACAGAAAATAAAAATCCACAGTGTATTTCAAAAATATTGAAGGCAAACTTTCAATTTTTTTTTTCCATCACAAATATACGAGAACAAATGCTACAGAGAAAATGAGAGATCTGATGAGACTGGATAGGACCGAGGCAAGAGTGGGTGCCTCAAGGAAGGGACCTCTAAAGTGATCGATGGCTTTGGGGCTTCAAGTCAGAAAAAAGAGAGGAGTACAGCATTGTGCAAGTGGAGAAAAGGCTGGAGGAAGCACAGACAAGGGCTAAGAGCAGGAGCAAAGGAAGCTGGAGAAAAAGGCAAGGGTCAAATCCTGAGTAGGCCTTGTCCACTGTAACGTTGGAAGTTGTGCAAAACGCAAAACTTTTCTGCAAAGCAAAACTGGCAATACTTATTTAAAAACCCATAAAATATCTTGTATTCGACTTGGTATTTCCATTTATGGAAATATATTCTAAGAAAATCATTCTTCCTCACGACCCACAGTGATCATTTCAAATATTTCCAGTCTCTTAAAAAAAATCTCTCAGACCACATGCCTACCCCTACTGCACTCTTTCCTCATGGAGGATAAACCAGGTTCACACTTCTTAATGTCTGCGCTGTGACCTTCGCTGCACCTTCAAGGTGTAACCCCTCTCAGAGCCTCCATCTTGTGAGGAAGAAGTGGCCTGCTGCTGTCTAAGCCTGCTCTCCCCACTCTTAGTGATGCTTGTTTCCTTCCTCCTCTGCCATTTCATCCAATTATTTCTCCTTGATTTTGACTTTCTGTTTCTCCTTTTCAATCTACACCTTCCCTTTGACAATTCAACCGGTAAAAACACAATTTATCCATGGTCTAAATGTAGAAGCAAAAAATCCCTCCCTCCCTCTTAAGAAACATTTCTCAAAACTAATTATTCTACTGTAACTGAAGATACTTCCTCACTTTCCTTTACTCCCAAACCTTCTGCTATCTTGGTCTTGCCCCCAGCTCTCACACTGGAAATATCTCTGCAAAATATTACCACTGTCCTTATTGTTACTTCACTCTTTTTTGTATCCAACTTTTTACTGTGAGTAGGCTGCAGAGGTGGCCTTATTAATAGGGACTGCATGAAGCCATCAAGGAAGGCGTACAATGCGGATTCGAAATTTTATTATCTTCACTTAATGAGTCCTTAAATCCCTTTATTCAGAACTATTCTTGGTGGAGATATGAAAAACCACTTTTGAAATAAGGTTTGCAGTAGAATAGCTTGGATTATTTTGGTACACAAATGCTCAAAACACACAGGAGTCCATGGAATGGGTCAACTGGTAAGTAAACTGTGGTTAGAAATGATTGGATGAAATCCCAGAGGAGGAAGGAAACAAGGAACCTTCTGCGTGTGGTGCAGCAGCAAAAGCTGAGGACAACCACTGAGAATCCTCGGACCTGACTCAAGCACTGGTACTGCCGTGGAGGGAAGGTGCGCTTTTCACATCAGAGGAAAGAGCACATAGAAGATAGGGGAGAGCTCAGCTCATGCTTTGGTCTTTTATAAATTAGCTTAATGACCTCCTGAAAGCTAGAATGCTCATTGTCTGATGCTTTGAGGAGGAGACCTGTCTTTATTTATGTCTAATTTAGGACCCTGCTATTCATGAAGCTGAGATTACAAATGGGCCATTTTGTGAAATAGAAAGCCAAGGAGAAAAGAAAACAACCGTATCCACCCAGACAAGAGATGCTACCTTCCATTCATTTCTGATATATCCAGTTTCCTCACACTTACATCCTGCCAAACTGCCGGGTAAAATACATACAGTAAAATTATCCAGACTTGCAAAAAGATTTGGATTCCGGGTATTAATAACAGAAGGAATGTTCTTCTGGGAGGAATCTAAGTGTTATATTTACCTTTGGTTTGAGAATATTTGGAGTGAGGAATTTCAAATGCAAATATTTTAAAAGCATAGCATGTTGGTAGAGAGACACTGTGGACACTTCTGTTTTCCTTTTAAAAATGGTTCTTTTTTTAAACCTTTTATTGGAATCTTAATGAGGCCATAATTATGATAGCAAAGGGAGTAAAATACAGCTGTTAAAAGCTCAGTGTTACCGTACATATGGTCCTTGCACCAAATTTTTTAAAAATCTGAAGCCATTCAAAGGAGAAAATAGATGATTTAGCAAAGTAGATTTTGCATACCTACCTCTTTGATAATTATATATTTTTTTAAAAAATACAGTTACTGAAATTTGGCAGGCACACTTCCTCTTATCTTTTCATTTTAGTGAGGCCATCATATGAGACAGTCGAAAAGAAGACCCACTTTTTTGCCTCCCTTTTTTAGTCCCACATGCACCCAAACTTCCGGTCTGTTAAGTGCTATGATTATTAAACTATCCATGTCCAAAGGCCAAAGGCTTGATTAATTTCTAGGCTAAGCCCCTATTTGGAAGTTTTGTGTGTTTGAATGCAAAGAACCGGGGACCCATGACTTAAGAACTCAATTCGTTCGCTAGGGCTGGTTGTAACTCAAGTTGGTTGATTGAAGGCTCAGGGTCCACCACACAGCTTTCAAACTCTCTCGTTTATACAAGCAGATCTCAGTGTCCTTAGAGAGACACTGGCCCAGAATTTCTCACTAAACCGCACACAGCAAAGGATTTTGTCGTGTTCCTTCCACGACTCTTTAAGGTTAAATCTGTATCTGATACCACTGTAAGCACAAGAAACTGGCATTCAGGTCCTAGCTCAAGACTTTGTTCGTAAATTAGAACTAAAATTCTGTTTATAACCCAAGTCATTTGTGTATCAGGCTTGTTGTAACCAGTGGGTCCACTGTACATGGGAAGATGTATCCTTTTTTATTTACTTCTTTTTGGAACCAGGGATCAGACTCCAGAACTTACACTTGCGAAGCAGGTGATGGAACCCCTGAGCTAAATCCCCGACCCCAGAAACATATATCTCTTATCCGAGGACTTGCAGTTACAGGGACCTTAACCTTCTGAAACTCAGCAGTATTTGCATCTCTACTATATTTGCTCAAAGCGTGATTTCTCTTCTTAAAAATGACCGCAATAAATTGAAATGAATGAATTTTAATTTTTAATAGAATTATTGCAGATCGGCAGCCTAATTCGTCTAGTGATACACTTCTTGTAACATACGCCTTTTTCCAGAAAGGTGAGATCGCTCAGAGTAGAACATTGGCAGAAATGTGCTCAGACCCCTCACCGTTGGTGGTAATTGTCCTCTTCCATCCTCAATTAGATGACACGACTGGAATTAATTTAATTCAAATCATCCTTTCCTTTCTCTGGGAAGAACACTGGATTATTATTGAAGATGACGGTTTTGAACATTCACAGCACAAGTCAGAGGAAGGAGTAACAGTAGAATTACAGTTACTTTTCCATGCCCTTCCAAACATGAATACCAGTTGTCTCACTCCCCTAATGAAGAGGAGAAAGTGATTTCTGAGTCTTGGATTGCCCCCTGTTTGTAAGACTTTTCCATTTGGCATCCCACTAAACTTTCAAAGGGCTCAGGTTCCGTGGGTTCTCTTATCTGCATCACAAGCCCCCTGGGTGGAACCTTGTTCCTGTTGCTGCTGCAGCTGTGAGTGGGGCGAATGTTGTCAAGGGACTTACCTGCAGGTGGAGCCTTGTTATCCTGCACGACCCTCAGCTTCAGACAGACACCAACATGGGTACTTTTATCAACATTAAATATGCATCTTTTTAAAATTTACAGTTTCAATATGCACCCACATTTGAATAGGTGATACATAGGCCAGTTACACACTTCACAAGATTTGAATCTGCTTTTCAATTTCCTCTGCATTTTGAAAAGGATTAGGGAGCAGATGAGTTGCTCCCTTGCTGAAAGTGTGCAGGAACAGCCGCAATTCACCAATCATTGAGAAAAAGACAACTCGGGGTGCTGCAGTGCAGGAAGTCTTTGGTCTCCCAGGAAGCATTCGGTGTGCATGAAGCTGTAAGGCAAAGAAATAGGAGAAATTCACTGAGGTTATTTTTTGGAGTACCGCATGATGTGGGGTTTAAACCAAGCTGTTTTGAATTAATGCCATTAACTCTCCATTCATTAATTGGAATTTACCAACGATATCTGTCCTCAGCTGCCATGATCATAGGTTATAGGAAGTTTTGGGATAAAGTTGTAAAACCCTGGTCTCTCATATCATAGAGTAGCCTTGAAATATCTTCATTCTTGTGTTCACTCCTTGTAGTGATTCTTTGCAATAAATCTGAACGCTTTTCAAGTTATTTGAGGGCTAAGCTAAGTTCCTGTTCCACCTGAACCAGTTCAGTTCATCTCTGGAAATGCAACCTGGCAAAGAAAAACAAGTCTTCCAAGGACTGAGATGAGAGTTTCCAAGCCATCAGGACGTTTCCTCTCATTTGGCTCCTTCCTCTCAAAGTGGGGCCATCAAAAAATTCGCAAAAACTACAGCCCTCAGCCCCTCCGTTCACCCAGACCCTCCATTCAAAGTATCTCACTGTGGCCCAACATAGCAGCAGGTTGCTATGTTGTTTGTCAAACTGATCAACACAAATCTCCACCCCAGTCCAGCAGACAGAAGTCTTTTAGATTTGTAATTAGAGGGATTAACTTCTCAGCTTTCTGAGGTTGACAACTCTCGTTATTTCCAGAGTTTAGAAGCCTTGCAAAACACAGCTTTATTGGTGATGGCCTCAGCTTCTGCAAAAGATGAATAGGGCACATCCTTGCTGGCTAACAGCAGAGAGCCGCTGTCTCCTCACACTAATGCAGCAGGCGTGCCTACAACGTGAGTGATCACACACCACACAGAGTACGGGAATGAATGAAGAGGGAAAAAAGCCACTTTCTTTGTTTACCCATTCTAGACTGCAGTATTCACTGCATCCGTTTTTTTTTTTAAATACCATTTGAATTATTTTACGGATGTAGCATCTTCACTTTCAACCTATGTTACTACCACTTCCTTTTCAGTTCATTTATGCCCTACCTCTTTCTCTGCTCACCTCCACACCTCCTCAAATAAGTTTCTGTTTCTTTCTCACTCCACAAAGTCTACCTCTCATCAGAAGAATGCTATCAGACAAAGGATGCTTAAGCCACCTCCCCACCCTTCCTCAAATTTGTAAGTGCTCAGACCTTCCTGCAAGCGAGATTATGATCCGGCAGGGCAAGAATGATGGGTACAGGAACATAGTGTGTGTGTTTGGCTACCTTGAGGAGTTACACTGCTTTTGCTGCCTTCTTACGCTGTTCTGTTTGAATACAGAAGGTAGCAGTTGAGTACTGAACCTGGAGAGTTGTAAGCCAATGAAGCATAATGGTTACACCATCAATGTTCTGTGTGTGTGTGTGTGTGTGTGTGTGTGTGTGTGTAAACTGGATTCTGCTTAGTCTACCGTCCTTCAAAAAAAACATTACAGTGAAGCTCCTAATTGTACAAAATCCAACAGATCAGTAGTATATTTTGTAGTTATCCTTCTATAAACTTACCCTTTACCCCTATGACCTTTTCTTTTTTTAATAGTAGGAGTATGTAGTTTTGGTTCTCTAATTTCAGAGTAAAACCCTGTCATTCTGGGAAAAAATGACCCTAAAGAGTATATAGCAGAAAATTATAATGAGCCAAATATCCAGAGATAACTTTTTTTTCATTAAGGAGTATATTTTTATCTCATCTCTGTGTGTGTTCACATATACCTTTGCACTTTTTAAAATAATTCTGATCACACCTGTCACACTTGTATGTTTCCTAGGTTGTATTTAACCAGCCAAAATATCAATACCATTCTTTCTCTCTGCATCTTAACTATTTGAAGGGCAGGCACCTCCACAGAATCCTGCATTCAGTCATTCCCCTACTTTTGGACTTTTTTTCCCATAGCAACAACTCTGTGGCTGTGACTCCTAGAAGCAAAGTCTTCGCAATACTACCCTGAATTTACTGAGCTCCTGTGGCCTACCGTTACCTAGAACCACATGGAGAATAACACCAGGCAGAGATTTTTAAAAACAAAAGAGGCTTGGGTTTTAAGTCATCAGGCTTGTTGTTCAGTGCCGTACTTGACTTTCTGATTGCCTTCCCATCTTTGGATTATTTCTGCATTTCTAAAATTAAATCTACAACTCTCTTGCTCAGCTCACCTCTCCCACTGAGTTTCTTATTCAGCTGGATCTTCAGCATCTACCAACCTCTAGTTTAACTTATCCCAAGTCCCAGTCCCTCCTACACAGCCCCGTTCTAAAGTGGCCCATCCTCTGGCATGACATCTTGCTAAAATTAGACAGCTGTGCAGTCTCTAAAATTAACTTATTCTCATCCCCCATGAGCTCTACTGGCTTGGTCGACCAGGGAAGCCGTAACAAATCACCACAGACCAGATGACTTAAATGATGAGCATTCACTGTATCACACAACTGGATGCTGAAAATTCAAGATCAAGTTGCAGGCTCAAACTCAGTTGGTGTCTGGTGAGGCCCCTGTCTCCCTGGATGGCAGTAGTCACCGCCTCACTTTGTTTTCTGACATGGACACAGAGACACACAGAAAGAGAGACACAGACACAAGGAGATTCGGTCTTCTTAGAAGGCCACCAATCCTAACTAAAGGCTTAGGACTCCACTTTTATGAATTATTTCCTAAAAACCCCATGGCCAGACACAGTCACATAGGGATTAGAGCTCTGACACCTAAATTTGGGGTGTGAGCACACAAGCCATTTCATTGCACTCTTCAAATAATGCACAGATGCCATCAATACCTTGCATATTCCAGATTTCATGCTAGAGGAAATTCTCATACTCCCAAAAGAATGATAAGTCAACTCAGAAAGCGGATCGGAATTGTAGCCACAGTGCAAAGGAGCTCCAGAGAAAAGCTGTGTTTAACTTTAACAAAGTGTGCGCGCATGAACATTTAAAAGTTCCTTCAAGTGACTGTCTTGTAGCTGCTTTCTGTGCCTTAAAGAATATCATTCATCAAATACAGCCCCATGGTATAAACCTGTTTCGCCCTCCAGCCACAAAGCAGCAGCAAATTTTAAATAATCAATGTTTTATAACCGTCATTAAACTATGCACTTATAAATAAAATGTAACATTTAAAGTCAGGTCTCCATTTCTCAAAGTTGTATTAATATTTATAACAATCACTGAAGACGCACATTGCAAGCAGGAGCAGTAAGCTTTTAATTATCATAGAATGGGAAGACCGTGGTTTCTCCGCTTTTTTACAGTTTTCTCACCAACTTCTGACATTCTGAGACCTCTTTTATGGATATACTACTGGTGTTTTCATTTTCTTAATGTTCCAGTCCAGAGAAATCCTGCTTGAGAAGGTTACCTCTCAGAAAGCGGAAGAATGGGCGCTGAACTATGGTTCTGTGGAATAAATAGAGAAAAAGGCTTATCCTTATCCAGAGGAAACTTAACAGGGCTTTCATCTCTTCCTTGAATTCCAAAGCCAAAATGATAACAGTTTTGCTCCCCCAAGTCCCACTCATAGCTATTTGTACCAGACCAGACCACCACCATAGTTTCTTATTAGCCAATATAAGGTCTGCAATATCTCAATGGAATTTTTGTAGGGGTAAAAAAAAAAAATCACAAACTTATAACTTATATAATAGAAGTGGGAATTGATTTACACTGCCATAGCATGAGCTCTAATGCAATACAATATTTTAGAAATATTCATTAGTCCAAAAGGAAACTTTAAACAGTAAAGCTGAAAGAGCCCTACCAGCTGGCAACACGAGCAGAGCACAGAGGGTGCGACACATCGGGCCAAGTTCATATACATCGGAGCTTTGTGACTTCACAGTCTCGGCCCCTTTCGGAGGCTCAGGTTCCTTTCAAACTTGGCAGAAGGTTACTTCCTGATGCAGAAAGGCCAAGAAAATGGTTTTTGGGAAGTACTCTTCAGGCTCCAACAATATCAAATAGCTTCTCATAAAATATTTTGATGAGCTAATTTAAGATTCATTAGAATACTTCCTGAAATTGCTGTCTTCACAGAATTATATACTAGGATGAGATCTTTGGGGTTCTCTAATCTAAATCTCTCACTTTCCAAACCAAAAAATATATCCCCAAGATAAAGTGACATTAGTTGTCAGTGGTTAATCAGTTTTCTGCCCTGGAAAAAGTTAGTTTCTGCCCTGGAAAAATAATGTTGGTTCTGCAGATGGTATGTGTGGGTCATTACTAGAAACGTATGATAAGGACAATAACGGTGACCAAAGAGGCAATCCTGCCAGTTATTACAGTTAGATTGAACATCCCCAATGTAAATATTTCACATGACACCACAGGTAAAAAATTCCACTCCATGAAACTATATTTCATGTGCAAAATTATCAAAAATACTACTTAAAATTACCTTTAGGCTATGTGAATAAACATGTTTAGACTTGAGTCATCTGAAAGCTATCTTATTATGCACATATAAATATTTTAAAATTTAAAAAAATCCCAAATATAAAGTATTTCTGATCCAAAGCATTTTGAATAAAAGTTATACAACCTGTGTTATGAATTCAAAGCACAGAAACATACATCTACTCCACCAGAAGCACATAATCTACTACCAGATCTCAAAGTCTCACCACTAGAATCATCAGTGGAATTAAGACTTTTATGTCTATGGAAACTTTCAGTTATATTCAATATCTTGTACAATATATGTTAAGTGAAGGCTATCATACATTATCTTATTCACATTAGTATGAAATAAATTATCAATGAATTAAATTATCAGATATACTGATTGGAGAGAAAAACAAAGAAAATTGACAAGTGTCTGGAGTGTAGTACACCTTCAGGATCTAGAAGCTGTAAGAAAGAAGGAGTCACTTTATATGACTGGAATTTTTGGATTTTAAATGAATCCTCCTCAACTTCCAGATTACAGGAAGTGTGTCCCATAAGAGTCCATCAGGATGGGCCATCTACCCACCTACGCCCACCCCATGTCTGTGGCAATCTTGACAGATTATTTTTTGGTAATCCTGGAAATGTAACTCCCCTCTCCAGCCAAGAACTATACTGATGAGCCACTTAGAAAGCTGGCTAAAGAGCAGTAGATCACAAAGTCTCTAGGGGTTTTGAGAAAGGATTTAGGAGTTTCTTCTTTCTCTTCATCTTATTTCTTCTGCCCATGTGCTTTATATCCTTCACAGCAGCAAGGGTCTTGAAGTGCAGTCAAAAGAAAATAGAGAATATAAGTACTTCACCCTCAAACTTGCTTATTCCTTCTCATATTCTTTTGAGTTTTACTTATGCATCAACACTCACCTTGATATTTGATGTGTGGTCATTACTAGAACACTGTGCTTACACTCACTGCCTCACTGCATCATTTGTAAAATATGCACAACTAAAGTTTTACTACTGAGAATTTGAAATTCAAATGTCAGGAAAGAAACACCATGAGCGAAACACTCTATAGTATCTGGCTTTCAGAATGATATTATCTGGTGTATGGTTTTCCACTTGTAGAATAATGTCTGCACACAAAACGTTTTAAAATTTGGAACATTTCAGATCTCGTATTTTTTTAGTCAGGCATGCTCAAAAAAATATGTGTCATGTGAGGTTTTTAATGTGAAAGATCACTAAAAAATAATTCTGGACTATATTTTTAATCATTTCCTAGTTCCCACAGTCTACCTTAAGATATGGTCTGAGTCATTTTTCTCACTGCTGAGACAAAAATACCCAAAACCCATAGTTAAAGGAGGAAAGGTTTATTTTAGCACACAGTTTTTATAGGTTTCAGTCCATAGTCTCTTGCTTCCAAGGCAGAGGATCATAGCAGAGGGCATCATAGAAGAGAAACAGTTCATGGCAGGGCAGGCAGGAAGCAATTAAGAAGCAGCAGCAGCAGTAGCAAACTTCTCTTTCCCTTTTATGTCATTCAAGTTACAAGCCTATTGGTGGGTGCCACACACACCTAGGAGGGACCTTCCCATTATCCACACCGAGACTATGCTAAACCAATCAATGGATTAATTTAGTTATTACACACTCATAATTACTCTTCATACATCCTAGATCCATCCATCTTTGAAAAGTCCAATTTCTGAGTACATAAGGCTTCGAAGGGACATCTAGATATAATCCATAACAGGTATGATAAGTAGCGTATAGGCATCCTAAGTAAGTATTGGGAGTTAAAAGAGGAACGATTTGTGTATTACAAGGCTTCCAGCCTTCGTATCAGAGAAGTCACTGTTCCTGCATTCAGTGTGTTGGAGAATCTCCAAATCCATGGGAAAGTATACAGAGCCATTATTCTCCCTGGCATCTCACCAGGAGTCCACCAGAACTAATATAATCTGCTGAACCTTGCCTGTCATAGGGCTGTGATTTTACACCCCCACTTCCGTCATTCAGTTGGTAACTGACATTTGTTCTTATTTGAAGATATAGCTATGCTTATATCCATATCTGTCTCTATAGCAAATAATTGTAATAGTAAAGGTATGTTACCTATAATAAAACTCAAAGAAGATAAAGAGAACAAAATTAACGTATGATTCCTAAGTCCACTGTCAAACAGTAGTTATTATGTATTCCAAAACAGGTATTCAGAAAATGAAAATCAAAATATAACTTCTTTACTCTTTTTCTAGTTTTCGAAAACGTTTTAGTCTAGTGAGTGCGTCTGTACATGCTTGCATCTTTATTTTGATTGTGTAGCTCCTTTAGTTTGATGCTTATTCAGATGATTGGTTTGGCTGCTGACCTCACATTTTCCTTTGTTCAATATCTTGCCGCTTCTTTCTTTCTTGGCTTCAAGCCTGCAGATTAAGGCTGAGTTCTTCCCACAGCTTGTGGCTATCCTCTCAGCCCCGTGAGGCGTCCCAGTGTTATTCTTGCAGGATTCTGTGCTCTCTGTCTTCCTATGCAAGTCTTTGCAGAATTTTCATAAGCATCATCATTCCAAAAGCATCTTGTAGCAGCCTCATGAGCTGGGAGGAGAAAATACACAGAGTTCTATGTCTTTCATTGGAAATATTGTGTAATTAAACATCATCTTTTAAAGGCGATTTTTTAAAAAGACATTATTGCACGGCTTTCCCAAGCTCCTTTGTTGTTTGTTTGTTTGGTTTGTTGTTATTATTGTTTTATTGTAAATCCAAGCAGGAAAAGGAGATGAGCATAAGATAGCCTCAAGACCTCAGGTGCTGAATATCTGAGCACCAAAGATATAATGATGCTGATGAAAATGTACCTGAGAATATTTTGATCTAAGGAAAATTATATGCAATGTGTAATTCTGAAATGGATTCGCAGGAGAAATTACTTTAAAACCCTTGCAGGAAAATTGATAAACTGTGAACAATTTTGTAAATAACAGTATCGATGATATAAACAAATATCCCTATTTTGATCATTGTTACATAATTATCAAAGTGAATGTCCTTATTCTCTTGAGAAACACACTTAAATATTTAGAGGTAATGAGGCAAGATTTCTACAACTTCAATAGTTAAAAAACAGAAATTAGTTGAACATATAGATCGTGGCAAAGTATATATGGTAATACGTTAACTCTTGGTATTTGTGACTAAAAAGGTATCTAGGATTCTTTGTGAAGCTCTGTTAGTATTATTATTACATTACCTCAAAATAAAAATAAAAATCTAAATATCAGCATCTCAATTACTAAAAGAGAAACAATGCAAAACTAAGTGAAAAAGTATAATTTTGCTTAATGGTCTTTTTTGTCCCTAGAACTGGTACTGAGCACAATATCTTAGTATAAAAATTTCTGAGAAATCACCAAGTGTAGTTCGTCTTGCTTTTCCTCTAATCAAAAGAGGTTGTTTTGTCTAAGATTAAACAACATGTTTTCACTTCCTGTCCAGACTGCAGGCCTTTCATCTCTACTACTGGAAAATGTATGAAACTCCACTGCTTCCGAACGCCTTTCTTCAGAATGTATACTAACATTTACTGGAAAGATAATGAGCAAGCTGTTCATTTCTTTTCATCGAAACAAGAGAGGGGAGAAAGTTCAGTTCAGATTCCAGACATCATAAAGTCTATTGAAAATGAATAGTGGGTAGATGGAAGCCCACACACACCCCTACCTTTAAACCCAAGCCCATAGACAGTTTCACTTTGTTAGGACTGTTTATGGTTCTCTGTAGCGTGGCAACATTTGCTGTGTGCAATAACAGCATCTAAAATGACATAATAAAAAAAGAATTATCTGTGATTAGAAGTGAACTGTTAAAATTACTCTGGTCGGTGCCAAAATTCAAGGGAGTTTATTATTTCAGTAGCTGCAGTGAAAAACCCCTCTGGGTGCCTAGAAAACCCACCCCCTTGAGCTTTCCACCGTCCTCCTCACTGACATGGTAATGGGCTTTGTTGAATTCAAAGACAGTTACGTCAGCAATCTGGGGCCTCTTGTGGGTTTTCCCGGCCTATAAAACACACAAATTATACCCAAATATTGGCTAGGAAAATTAGTAAGCTATAGGGTTTGTGTTATTTTAGCCAAGCTTTACTGGAGCAAAAGAAACCCAGGGATCCTGAAGCTTAGGGATTCATTTTGCTACTTGATTTTCATTTTTGGTGGGCCTATTCTGCTATACTCACAATGTTTCGCTTTATTTGTATCATGATCTTCTTATTTTTGTTTGTTTTGTTTTTATGCTCAAGGAGATTTTTGTCAGATATTAATCATTATATTTCTTTTTTTCTTGTTTTTTTTCTTTTTATTGAGTTTATTGGTACATTTTAGGGATA